AGGGAGTCTGCTTCTCCCTCTGACCCTCCCCCCTCTCATGCTCGCTCTATCTCATTCTCTCTCTCAAATAAATAAATAAAATCTTTTAAAAAAAAGAAAAAAAGAGAAAAAAAAGAAATCCTTAAATGAAACCTTTATTTTAAATCATCTCGTGTGTTCCTGGCTGCTTCCCTCCTTACTTAATGCATGACCCTGCTAACCACCACGCCCCTTGATGTTTCTGCTATTTAATCAACTGTGTGGGGTGGAGAATTAGGGGCCAAAAAAAGACTTGAGCTTGTTTCCCAAGGCCACAGTAGCCTGCTTTGTGTTGGGTCTGTAGCACATCCACACGCACCACGAGCACAGGTGGTGAGGTCGTTCACTTGTGGGGCTGCCTCGCCCGCCAGTGCTTGGAAGCACCCCCCTGAGCCACATGTCTGCCTCTCTCTCTTTATAGTGGGAAGAATTCGACTTAGGAAGGTTGGGGCCCAGGGATAGGATTCTTTCCATGTTGTGCCAGGACCAGGCTGTGACATTCCCCTGCAGCTGGGAGAGGAGATGGAGAAAGTGGAGGGATGGAGGGGATATCCTGTCCTGGGAGTCCACTCTGACCTAAATTGCTGTATGATCTTGAGCCGATCACCTCCCCTCTCTGCGAATGTTTCCTCATCTGTAACATGAGGGAATCAAAGTTCATCCTGCTCTGACATTCCATCTTCTGTGTCTCTGCAGACAACCATCATGGCAGTGGAGTTTGACGGAGGTGTTGTGGTGGGTTCTGATTCCCGGGTGTCTGCAGGGTAAGTACCAGTCAAGGTGAATGCTTCTGGAAGGAAGCCAACGGCCCCAAATACAGATTTTTCTTACCCATTCATGAAGATACTGGTAAAATGGAGTTTTGCAGAAATTGAGTTAGGCTTCCAGAAGGGCCCCTCTAATGAGATACTGGGCAAGTGCTTGGGTCCCTGAATTAGTGGAGGAGAATCTGGGGCCTGGATGCTTATGTGGCCTGTCCCTGCAGGGATGGGTATAAAAGAATAGGGTATGAGGAGGTAGGACACAAAGGTTTCAGGGGCCGTCCTTCCATCTATATTTAGAGATAGAAAAGATGGTTCAGGGGCGCCTGGGTGGCTCAGTGGGTTAAGCGTCTGCCTTTGGCTCAGGTCATGATCCCAGGGTCCTGGAATCGAGCCCCACGTTGGGCTCCCTGCTCAGCGGGGAGCCTGCTTCTCTCTCTGCCTGCCACTCCCCCTGCTTGTGCTCTCTCTCTTTAATAAATAAATAAATAAAATCTTAAAAAGAAAAGAAAAGAACAAAAAGATGGTCCTGCCAAGCAGATATTCTGGTTTCTCATCCAGCACACATTGAACTAATTTTGTCTTCTCCATCCTGGCCAGTTTCCCCATATGCAAAATGAGTATATGGGATTAGGTCAATATTACTTACTTTATGTCCCATAGAACACATAACTTCCTCAAGATGGGTGTAGCAAAGAAAAATTGCTTAAGAACATGATTCTTCATTTACTATTTTTTGTCTTATTATAAAGTCTAAGCCTGAAAATAAGTCTAATTTTGATAATAATTGCAGTGTTTCATTTATTTGAGATGACTTTTTTTTTCTTCCTGTTTTAATCCAAGTATTAAATTTCATGGGCTCCGGGGCTATTCTCTTGTCAAATAACTTTGTGAAACACTGGATGATTAACCTCAAAAATTCTGGCATTGCTAATGTTGATGACTGCTGACTCCTTCCCGGCAGAGAGGCGGTGGTAAACCGGGTGTTTGACAAGCTGTCCCCACTACACCAGCACATCTACTGTGCTCTCTCTGGTTCAGCTGCTGATGCCCAAGCCATGGTTGACATGGCCGCCTACCAACTGGAGCTCCACGGGTATGAAGCTTTGGGGTCCTCAGGTCCACATTCACCAGAGTTCTCCCCACCAGCCAACCCCGAGACAGTGTCCCGTTCCAGGAACGCTGTAGTGAAAAATGAAAAATTCTTGTTTGCGCTCCTGTTTTTATTAGTGTTGAACTGGCTCTTGAATCTCCAACGTGGCTTCCGCCTCTGTAAAGTGGAGATAATTAATAGTACCTACCCTATCTCACCCGACGGTTATTTTGAGAATCAAATGATATATGTGAAAATGGCCTGAACATTGTAAATCACGGTCCCACTCTAAATAACGAGAAAGAAGATGATGATGTGGCCCACCATATATCAGGAAGTTACCGGGTGAGAAACCAAGGTCATTGGTGCAGGAGTAAAGCTTATCTGCTTTTACCCACATGGGCACGGCCCTTGCAGCTAAGCGTTGTATAATTGGGGGATGGGTGGGTGGGACAGAGTAAAGGAGGGGAACGTTGAATCTTCTTACTGGTGGGTGGTGTGAGACTAGTCGCCCTGTCCATGTGGGAGAGGAGCTGGAGTTTGAACTATTGCAACCACAGGTTTCAGGTTTCACGTGTCACTTGGCAGGGATGATGGTAACGGCACAGGTGGGTGGAACTTCAGGAAATTATATTGACCCCTATTACTAACACTTCCTTTAGGTTGGAACTGGAAGAACCTCCGCTTGTTCTGGCTGCTGCCAACGTGGTGAGGAATATCAGTTATAAGTATCGGGAGGACCTGTCCGCGCATCTCATAGTAGCCGGCTGGGACCAACGTGCCGGGGGCCAGGTGCGTGTCTTCCTACGTACCCCCTCCCTTGGTGTTCCCACCACCCGATAGGGGGAGATAGAGGTTATATCCTTCTAGCAATGGGTTCCCAGGACACCGCCTCTGAAAGCAGAGTATAATCTCAACCGATGGGAGTAGGAGATGGGGGGCTTCACTGCAGAACACGGAGACCCCCTGCCTGTCTCAGTGGCAAGGAGAGGACTGATGCTTCCATAGTCTGACCTGAGGAGCCCCCCTAGGTGTATGGAACCCTGGGAGGAATGCTGACTCGGCAGCCCTTCGCCATCGGTGGCTCTGGCAGCGCCTATATCTACGGCTATGTGGATGCAGCATATAAGCCGGGCATGTCCCCTGAGGAGTGCAGGAGCTTCACCACAGATGGTAACTAACCAAGTGGGAGGGTACCCGGGGAGCGTTTTTAAACCTGGGAAGGAAGGAGAGTATGAGGAACACGGTGAGGAGTACATGGGTGACCGTTTAATTTAATGTCCAAACTGGAACACTTTTGAGAGGGAACACTTTTGAGCAGGACAGTGTTAAACTAGGTGGGATTCCAGGACCCAGGGCAGAAACCAGGACTGTTTTGAGTACCCCAAATCAAAATATACAGTTACTATAAGAATCAGGGGTGTGCTGGAGCTGGCTTGGGCGAGCTCATGAGAGCCAACTGTTAAATATCCAAGAACTCATGAGCTGCTTATCTAGCTATTTGCAACTTGAAATCAATCCTGGTGGGAGTTTTGAGACCATGGGTACCAGGAGATGTTACATATAAAGGCTTATTTTTTTTTCAAGTTGATTTACCTGCACACCCCTTGATACGTGTCCCTAGGAGACGGGTTTTGAGGTCTGAGAGGTAGTAAGCATATGAACGGGAGAGGAATGTAAAGATTCCTGAAGCTAAGTCATTCTCTCTCCCCCTCTCCACCCTGAAACTCTCTGCAGCTATCGCTCTGGCCATGAATCGGGATGGCTCTAGCGGGGGCGTCATCTACCTGGTCACTATTACAGCTGCTGGTGTGGACCATCAAGTGATCTTGGGTAATGAGCTGCCGAAATTCTATGACCAGTGAATCTTCCTCAGACCTCCCTTCATCATTTTGTAATAAACTCTCTCAGACCAGAACCTGGAATGGTCAATGGAAAATGGGAGCTCAGGGAGATGAAGCTTAGGTGAGGGGCCCTCTTCCCTCCCAGATGTTAGATACCCTTTCCATAAGGTGTTCATTCACATTGGAGATCAATACATGATAAGTGCATAAAATTTGGGCATTTGTGAGTTTCAGAGAATAATAACAACCAAAACATTGAGCAAGGCATTAGCTAAATGCTTATAAGCTTTATCTCTTATAACCCAAACAAAAAACCTTTATAGATTAGACTACTAGGTCTATTTACGGACAGATGAAGGCTTAGAAAAAGTAAGTCCCTTAACCAAAGTCATAGTGAATTCAAAAGCTGAAAACTGGGATTTGCTGTTTGTTTGTTTGTTTGTTTTACTATATGCCATTCTCCCGCATAAAACATAAAACTTTCCATTCCCTCAAGCTTCATATATCATGTCCCCCTTGAAATCTGCGATAATTAGCCCAGCATAGCAGTTGACACTTAGGAAGTCGTTAGTAACTGCCTGAGTAACTGTTGTTAAACAGGCTAAGTTCTGGCCCAGTTTTTGCCATGCATTTCCAGAGTGACAGAACAAATTATTCCCCTTCTGTGAGATCTTATTTCCTCTTCTGTCAAATGAAGGCGTTGACTTCTAAGGTGGTTTACAGTTTGAACAGTCAATGCCATTTTGCTCGTAAGTAAGCAGTTAAGAGGTATATTTAACAGAAATCATAATGAGCTCCCCAGGAAGCTTTTGTCTGCTTTTCTTTCTGGATCTCAGGCTTAACATAAAAATTCAAAGTACCCTAACACAATGCTATGCCCTTGGGAGCATGTGTATTTTTTGTGGGGGGGAGGAGCAGAGTCTAAAATCATAAAGACTTGAGTTTTTTCTAGCCATGATATTTAATTTATTTTGAAGGTTAAAATAATAGTTTAAGGGGGCTTCTGGGTGGCTCAGTCTGGTAAGCGCCTACCTTCAGCTCAGGTCATGATCTTGGGGTCCTGGGATCGAGTTCCGCGTTGGGCTCTCTGCCCAGCAGGGAGCCCGCTTCTCCCTCTCCCTCTGTCTACCGCTCTGCCTACTTGTGCTCTCTCTCTCTGTCAAATAAATAAATACAATCTTTTTAAAAAAATAAAATAATAGTTTAAGAGCCAATCTCTCCCACTGATCACAACTAGAAAAGCTCTGGAAAGCACACAAAAAACAAGTGCTGAAGGACTCTGGAAAATAGACAAAAGCATGTGGGTCATGAGAAGAGCCAGAGCTTGGAGAGGCAATGCTCCCTCTGGGTGATTTTCAATTTTTTCTCTCTTTCATCTCCCAGCTTTGCCCTGAGAAGTCAGGCTTAAGGTGCAAAGCTGTAGTGCCCTAAACTGCCAAGAGAAACACCATAGTCGGTTCTGACCAAAGGAATGGAGGAAACAGAGAAAAGGGGCCCCTGAGGCCGGGAAAGTGGAGGGGGTTTCCCACATGAGGAAACTGGAGAAGGGGATTCCTTAATTCTAGGTTGGAACTCTCACAAGTACCCAGTGACCCCTGAGCTACACACATGTGAGGAACACCCAAAACAGCCCATCACAGACTTTGAGAGCCAAACTAAGATTTACGCCTTTACAATTAGAAAGCTGTCTTTTTCTTTATTGACCAAAGAATCATGTCCTTGTGTCCCTCATTCCAAAAAGCGCTAATAGCAGCTCACGATTTAACAAAAAGGAGAAGAAGAAACTGGGACAAAGAGAAAACAAAGCTAAGAAATAAGTAAAGCCCAGGGGTCAAACTAAAATACAAAATGAATATCTTTAAAAAAAAAATGGAGTACGGGAGCTGTCTTATACTGGCTAAAAGGAGCAAATTGTAAAATATTCAGGAATTTTGAAAGACAGTTGTTGACCATGGGTAGCTTCACATTGGCCTTGATGGAAGTATTTATTCTACAGAAACCAGGAATGTCACATGTCAGAATTTTGGGGGTTTTTTTTTGTCCCCCAGAGAGCCAGTTTAATAGGACATATTTTCATCACCCAGCTACAGATGGGTAAAAAACAGCTGGCTCTGAGCTACAAAAGCGAAGCCAAGAAGGAAAGGAAATTAAGTATGAGGTTCAAAAGATTCATTTAGGGGTGCCTGGGTGGCTCAGTCGTTAAGCGTCTGCCTTCGGCTCAGGTCATGATCCCAGGATCCTGGGATCGAGCCCCATGTCGGGCTCCCTGCTCGGCGGGGAGCCTGCTTCTCCCTCTGCCTGCTTTGTGCGCTCTCTCTCTCTCTGGCAAATAAATAAATAAAATCTTTAAAAAAATAAATCAAAAGATTCATTTAAAAAGGTACAGCATAGGGAATATAGTCAATGGCATTGTAATAGTGTTGTGCAGTGACAGATGGGAGCTACACTTGTGGTGAGCATAGCATAACATATAAACTTGAGAATTCACTATGTTGTACACCTGCAACTAATGTAACATTGTGTGTCCACTATACTTCAATTAAAAAAAAAAAAGATTCATTGAAAAGAAAAGCCAGGGGCTGCTGGGTGGCTCAGTCAGTTAAGCATCCAACTCTTGATTTTGGCTCAGGTCAGGAGATCAGGGTTGTTAGACTGAGCCCCGCATGGGACTCCTACTCAGCAGGGAGTCTGCTGAGGATTCTCTCTCTACCTCTGCTTTGTCCTCTCCTCACCAAGTAAATAAATAAAGAAGACGTGGTCCATATATACAATGGAATGTTACTCAGCCATCAGAAAAGATGAATACCCAACTTTTACATCAACATGGATGGGACTGGAGGAGATTATGC